TGTGCGCGCACACACACACGCACACACCCACACAGAGTAAACCTGCAGGAAGGGCAAAATTTTCAGTAGAAACCTTACCAATTTAGATGTGTTTCATTTTCGATCTCCAAAGCTTTCATTTCTACAGGATCGAAAAGAGATGTCGAAATCCAAAGGAGATTTGCAAACAAGGCGTAGGAGAGGAGCTTGGACTTGAGGAACTGCCGGGGAAAGGAACGTTTGAACGTCAGCCCACCCACCAGCCAGATTCAGCCGTCCCAAACCTCTGAACGACAGAGATACCTGGATCACCCCCCGAGACACTGGTCACACCCATTAGGAATAATCCCAAAACCTGGACGAGAAACCCGGGCTCGCTGGCCAGGAGTCCCCGGCTGCTGTCAGTGAGCCGCCCGTTAAATCCCGAGTCCACAGCAGACGCCGCTTATGCTGACACAAATCACTTCTTTCCGCAGGCCTCAATCACCAAGCCCTGCAGACAAACACCAACCTCTGACCACGTCCTTTCGATCGCGTACCTCGCCTGGCCTTTATCACTGACAACCAGAATCCTTCGCGACCGACTCCCAACGGCACCCCAACCACAGATACCCCAGTCACAGACCCCCACATGATTCCTCTCCCCTGGGCACCCCACGGCTCCACCCTACCCGGACACGCACAGACACCTCGGTCCTCTCATCCTGCTCCACGCAGAGCCACACGCAGACTTGATTTTCTCCTGACCCCACGGCGATCTCCCAGAACCTGCACTTCCGTGAACTCTCTTCTAGCAGCGCCCTCGCCCAGTCTCCGCGCTGGGCTACGGCGGCCGTTGAGGGTCTGCGGCGTTTGAACGGAGCACTGACACCCCTATTTCCGGCTTTTCACGGAAGTAACATGTCCGCGTCCAACTCGCCACAGATTCCGGGGCCGCCATCTTTCAGGACTTAACGTACAGAAAGTGAAGTGGCAGTTAAGGCCCGAGCAGCCAGGGAAAGCTCCGAACGGTGAAAAGCCACGGAAACTACCGTCCCATTTCTCGGCACCGTAAACCATCCGCCACAAACTGGTTTTCAGAAACTCGAGCTGACGCAAGACGAACATGGGGTAGCATCTATCCGCCTTAGCGGGCTGGGGAGAAAAGTAGTCCACTTTGGGAAATGACACAGTGGGCGCAGCCATCTTCGAAGTAAGGTGTCCATACAAACACAATACGAAACAAAAAACGCCTTTCCAGGGGAGGAAAAAAGAGCAAACGGATAAGCCAAAAACGAGATATCCCGAGAACGCTTCTGATTGAATGTGGAACGTGAAAGGATGATTTTGAGGACAGAGAAAAGTCTTGGAGAAGTACTCACGGCAAAGCGGACACCATAATGCCGTCACAGGATGTCAAAAAAACAAACAAAAAACCCGCAACTGCAAGAAACCTGGCATACCTTTGGGGGTGGGACATAGTTACCGCCCAGTAAATGGGTGGAGAGTAGTCACGAGCCGATGGGAAGAGGGAATCCAACCTCCAAGCTGTTATATTGTTTTAGGTCAACAATCAATATGTACATGTTAAAATGTCAAAATCTTTAAAAGGGTAAAAAGTCTTACGAAACTAACTCCTAAATTTAAAAGAATTACAAAATAAAACAGAATCCTCGGTGCAGCAGTTCCATTCCTAGATATTTATTCAAGAATACTCTGAAATATGTCCAAAGACTTATACAAGAATGTTAATAACACCTTTATTCATAATAGCTGCAAACGATAAATAATCCAGGTGTTAGTGAGAATGTGGAAGAAATGGAAACCTCATAAACTGATCGTGGAATGTAAAAGGGTGCAGTGTGATATTGTGAAACGAGAAATACATATTTTGGTCTTCATCCTGGCTCCTAGCCAGAGCGCCTAAAACCCTTGTAATGTCTTAAGGGATTAAAGTAATAGGAATATACTTTGTTAAAATATTTGGTTTTGGTCCCCACCTTCTGAAACAACTCAGGATTAATAAAGGTGAAAGTGTCTTTTGTTATTCATAACAAGCCTGCTTCAACCACGTCTGAGTTCATATTAATGAGGTGACTTTGGAAACCCCTCAGGATAGGGGCTGATTGCCAGGGAATTCACCCTGCTGGGAGGGGAAAGGAACTGGAGGTTGAGTTAATTACTAATAGCAAATTATATAATCAATCATGCCTACGTAATGAAGTCTCTATAAAAAAACATAATCAAAGAGATTGGGAGAGCTTCCTGACTGCTGAAAACGCTGAGGTGTTGGGATGGCACTGAGAGAGAGCATGAAGTTCCACTCCCCTTCTCCCATAACTTGCCCTATGCATGTTTTCCATTTAGCTGTTCCTGAATTTATCCTTTTACAATAAACTGGTAACGCAGGAAGTAAACTGTTTTCCCAAGTTGTGTGAGACAGTCTAGCAAATTATCAAATCTGAGAAGGTCATGGAAATCCCTGATTTAGAGCCAATCAGTCAGAAATACAGAAAGCACCTTCTTGAAATTGTTATCTGAAGTCAGAAGCAGTATTGTGGGACTGGACCCTCAGCCTATGGGATGTGCACTAACACCAGGTGGATAGTCTCAGAACTGAATTGTAGTACACCCAGTTGGTGTCCACAGATAACTGGAGACTTGCTTGGTGTGGGGGGAAAAAATCCACACATTTGATGTTAGAAGTATTCTAGGGCAGAAGAAACAGTTTTCATTCAGTTGATATTCATTTTATGCAGCTACTTTGGAAAACAGTCTCATATTTCCCCAAACAGTAAACATATTTACCATATGATGCAGCAATTTCACTCCTAGGTTTATATCCAAGAGAAATGAAAGCATATATCCACACAAAAACTCATACACAAATGTTAACAGCAGCATTATTTATAACAGCCGTAAGTGAAAACAACTCAAATATCCATCAACTGATGAAGGGAAAAATAAAATGTGCTATAGCCACACAATGGAATATTATTCAGGTATAATAAGGAATGAAGTACAGAAACATGCCACAATATGATGAACCTTGAAAGCATTATGCTAAGCGAAAGAAGCAAGTTACAAGGACTACATATTATTTGATTGGACTTATAAAATGTCCTGAATAGGCAAATCTATAGACAGAAAGTAAGTGGCTGCTTAGATGTGGGGAGAATGGAGGTAGAAATGATAGTTATAAATATCCACAACATGATTAAGAAAAAGATAACCAACCTAAAACAGGAAAAACATAAGGAAACAATTTACCAAAAAAAAATTAAAACAGTATTTTTATTCACCTGTGAACAAAAAATACTGCAAACCTTATCAGTAAACAAAGAATACTGAAGCAATCAAGTCATCAGCCACTACCAACACCCCTAGTGAAGACAAGCCTGCAGCCCAGCCTCTGCAGCCACTCACAATGGTGCACTCTGAGGTGACTTAAAAAATAAAGGACAGGATACTGGCCCTAGAGAGCTAGGTGCTAGTCAAAGGAATGAATTCAATGAACCCAAATGTTTGTTCACTCCCATACAAAGAAAAGCACTAAATTCTTTAACTTGAGATGTCCTGGTTATCTTTAGTTAACAAATAATCTTTTAACGTTCAACTACCTGGTCTTTGTTGTAAAACTATATATCCTGGCTCCTACCCTATCTCTTCTGGGAAGTCCCTCAGAGCAATCTGAGAAGCTGTCATCCTGGCCTGAGTCCTCAGAATTGTCCACCAAATAAAACGTACCTCTCAACTTTTAGGTTGGGCATTTATTTCAGTCCACGACCCTTAGGATGGACAAAAATTAAAAGATTGATAAAGCAGTTAGGAAATAGGCACTTTGATAGAATTAGCCCTTTCTTTCCTATAACTAAAATAAATAATATTTATGTCCACCGTTGATTGCTTTTAGAAAATTAAGATAATAAAATTATGCTTGAAATAGCCTCCTACTCAAAAAATGTATACACTTAATAAAAATTAACTATTCCTTTTCAGTTGGAGTTCTTGGGGGAGGACGGATAGCAGCCAGTAAGGTATATTCATTAATAGATCACTTTTTGACAACAATCGAGAATAATCTATCCAATTAAAAATTTTCATTCTCTTCGATGCAACAAGTCCAACTCTAATAATTTCTTCACTAGAAAAATTTTGTGAAAATATCTGAATTAAGATAAAGCCACCACAGAAATTTCTACCAACAATTTCTAGTCTTCTCTTCCTCTCCATTTCACTACCTTCCACTTCGGTCAGAAAGATAACCCCTCCCTCATTGTTAGCTCTACCCTCCCAGTAGAGGTCTCACCTTTCACCCTGGAGATGTCACCAAACTTCCACCACCAGTTCTGGCTAAACTTGTTTACTCTGTGCCCACAGTGATGCATGCTACCTTCCTTTATCACCTGGGCTTCTCCAAACCACACGCGGTTCTCCAGAAGCCTTCCCGGAAGTCGCTCCACCTGCCCCGGCTCCCTAAAGGGCGACTCCTGTTCTGTACGGACACTCACACCCTTTCCAAGATGGCCGCGCCCGCGGCGACGCTGGGCCGCTTCGTACCTACCAGCGGCAAAGCGGAGGCGGACACCTTTGGGCTCGGTGCGTCTTACTGGGATGAGACTCCGGTCTGCGGAGGAGGACATGCGCATTGCCTTTGCGATACTAGCGACCGGCGTAACGCAGACAAGTTTGAGGGGGGCAGGAAAACTGGTTGTACGGCCGGTCTTCCAAGATGGCGGGCCCCACATAAATCAGCTAACGGGCGCCGCCATACCCTGTCATAGTGTCTTTGTCTAGGAGACGCCGAAGTGTAACGGAATCTTCGTCGGTGGAAGGAAGCCCCGGAGTGATGGTTGGTATCCTGCAGACTCGGGTGCTGCAGACGCTAAACTAGAGCTGCGATGTGGAACAGCTGGATTTGTGAATGTGAAGAAAGTGATGGACTGTGCCTGTTTTTACCCACCCAGCTGGTGCGCGAACGATCTAGTAAGGGGTCCCAGTTTCGCGCTCCAGGAGCAGAACGAGGTGAGCTTTGTGGAGATACGAGCTTTGAGGTAGGGGAGGGCTATGGGGAGTCTGTATGAGGAGCAAGCTGTTGTGGGACAAGGGATGCATTCCGTGATTGAGGGAGCGGGATGGTCAAAAATGGGGCAGGTTTGGGGGTGGTTAGGGTATCGGAGAAGCATGGAGAAAGATTTAAGTGGCTTGGGGATAGCCTTTCGGGGGGACTGGGCGGTCTGGAGGTAAATCCGTGACCTAGGGGGTGGGTCAGTGATTGGGATGCACTTGGGGGATAGGTCAGGAACTGGGGCATCTTTCAGGGAAGGTTAGTGATTGGGGATGAATGACAGGAGGTCAGTGATCCGGTTGTTCTTGAAGGGAATCAGGAATTGGGGTGCCTCAGAACCTGAAAAGGCTTCTGGAGGAAGATCGGTTCTTTGGATAGCCTTGGGAGGATGTCAGCGATTGGCCCATCTTTGGAGGAAGGTCAATGTCTGGGGAATCCTTGGGGCATAAGTCAGTGACTGGGACGTCTTTTGGAAGGTTTACTAATGGGAGTGGCCATGAGGGGAGGTCAGTGATTGAGATATTCTTAGTAGGTAGTTCAGTGTTTTTCCTGTTGTTAGCTTCCGTGTCTGGAACGTACTTGGGGGGGTGGTGTCAGTGACTAGGGCATCCTTCTGGGTGGTCAGTGAATGGGGTGGTCTTGTGGGGAGCTTAGTGCATGAGACAGCTGTTTTTTGTCTTTGAGGGTCTCCAGTGGTCATTGAGAATCATGAGGTTCTGGGCGTTTGAGTCTGGATAGGCCAATGGTAACCTGTTAGAAGTCTTGAACTATGAACTGACCTAGCCATGTAGCCCATACATGGGTATGATGTTGTTGGGGACTGATACCAGAAAGATTTATGAGAGTTGGAGCTAGAGGTCTCTGCGTTTTGAAAGGCTGTGGGGTTTTATACATCAGTGCCTTCTTCAAAACCTGCTTTCCAACTCCCTCTGTCCTCTAAATTACCTCCTCTTCTCCAAAGCAATGTCTCTAAAACAATGAAAACTCCTTTGAAATGATCAAGATCTAAATAAACCTAAGGTTAAATGCTTATTATGAAAGATGTAGTACCTGGCCCTCTAGCTTTCAAATTTACTGTGTGTTTCTCTGGGAGCCTTCCTGTTTGGTCCTTCTGATACATGAGAGAACATTCCTACATCCAGAATCTTGGTAGTCAGAGATACACATGGTTAAAATTTTTTATATATTTCCTTTCCCAAACTTTTTCATCATGCATTTTATTACAAAGATGTGATAAGACTGCATAAGTAGTTTATAGTTTACTTTCTAAAAGAAACTTAACCTAATGATAAAATTGTTTCAGATTACTGATTTTTGGTACAAAGTCTTATTGATAGCTGCATAGTACTGTATAATGGGGCTCTCCTTGCAATGTTGACTGAAGTTATATTAAATCTTGCAATACTTTGTATTTGATAGCTGCGTAGTACTGTATAATGTGGCTCTCCTTGCAATGTTGACTGAAGTTATATTAAATCTTTGCAATACTTTGTATAGACATGACATTAAAATATTCATGTAGATCTGGACATTGCTTGTTAAGTTTATTCCTACATCTTGTCTATGCTTGCTGCCATTGCAAATAGCTTCTCTTTCTCTTAAATTTTTAAATTATTTTTTATTTTATTGTATTTTATAGGTATAAAAGCAGATTATTAAAAATAAACATTTTCTCTTTCATTTCTTTACTGAAATTATTACTCGTGTGCTTAAATTGATTCTTGTAGGTTTCCCAGGTAAGCAGTCAGAGCACCTACGGGTAAGTTTAACTCAGAGAAAAGAATATGGATTTTGGATTTGGGCAGATGTAGCTTTTATCCATATCCTGCCACTTACTATGTGAACTTGGACAGATTTTTCAACCTGAGATTCTTTTCCCACTGTTAAAAAAAAATCACTACTAACTACTAATATAGTTAGAGTACCTTGCATATATTAAGTACCTGACAGGTTAGCAAGCAGTACACACACACACACACACACACACACACACACCTGTTTCTCTGGATTTTTTAGGCTTTAAAATTTTTCTCTCTTTAAAAAAAATTTATTTATAATAGTCCTCTAAATATAGATATAGTTTTGAATACAATTTTGGCAACATTACATAATTTAATAAAGATATCTTTGTTGTTTGTGTTTATTATAAAGTAGTTACATGTTTATTGTAAAATAAACCATCGGGTAATATGTTACTTTTTTCTTTAGATTATCATGTTAACCTACCACCTGAAGAAAACAAGTTAAATTTTAGATATTGATATGTGTGTGTATATCTAAAATACATACTCACAAACAAATAAGGACTCACACAACTCAGAAAAATGTCATACTCCCAATTATAGTTTATTACAGCAGGGAATTTCGGTAATCCTCCAGGTTCTGGCTTCCTGGGATAAAACAGTTCCCATGAGGGAAGGAACTGAAAGTACCAAGATCAGCACTACATCCTTGACCAGAGACCTTGTATTAGAGCTTCAGAGAAGAGCCCAGAACCAACAGTAAAGCAGATAATAAAGTTGCTGTCTGTGACCCAGGGCTCCAGAAAATGTCCAAGTCTCAAGTGAGTTTTTTTTTGTATATTTATTTTCCATTTGGATTTCCAGTCGTTTTTAGGAGATTAAATAATACATATATTAAAAAATATGTTTATTCAATATTTATGAAGACTACTCTCTACCAGATACAGCATGAAAAGATAAATATCAGAATTCAGTAAAAAATGCTGAGACTGAAAGTCAAATTCAGTCAGGTTGCAATCAGAATATGTAAGTCATACATTTATACAAATTATTTAAAGTTGGAGCACAGATTATAGCCTGTGAGGCTCTAAATGTGTAATAAAATGGAGTGCCAACTTGTCTCTAGTATCTCCCAGTTATCTCTTTCTACATAACAAGCCACTTCAAAACCTAGTGATACACATTTATTTTTATAAATAGTGCATAGAGGCCAGGGATGCTGCTGAACATCCTACAATACATAGTAAAGGCCTCCACAAGAATTATCCAGCCCAAAATGTCAACAGTGCCAAGGTTAAGAAACCCCAGTTAATGATCTCCACAACATATTTAAGTAGCAAACCTTTTTCCCTTCTGCTGTATTAAGGTGAAACTGACATACAATAAAACATGCATAAAGTAAAAAAAAAGAAACCCCAGTTAATGTTGGTGGGAATGTAACTTGGTGCAGCCACTATGTTAAACAGTATGGAGGTTCCTTAAAAAACTAAAAATAGAGTTACCAAATGATTCAACAATCCCACCCCTGGGCATATATCTGGAGAAAACTCTAATTCGAAAAGACATATGCACCCCAATGTTTATAGCAGCACTATTTACAATAGCCAAGACATGGAAGCAACCTAAATGTCCATTGACAGATGACTGGATAAAGAAAATGTAGTGTGTGTGTGTGTGTGTGTGATGGAATACTACTCAGCCATCAAAGAGAATGAAGTAATGCCATTTGCAACAACATGGAGGGACCTAGAGCTTATCATACTAAGTGAAGTAAGTCAGATAGAGGAAAACAAATATCATATGATATCACTTATTATATATGGAATTTAAAAAATGATACAAATGAACTTATTTATAAAACAAACAGACTCACAGACATAGAAAACAAACTTATGGTTCCCAAAGGGGAAAAGGGGGAGGGAGGGATAAATTAGGAGTTTGGGATTAGCAGATACAAACTACTATATATAAAATAGATAAATAACAAAGTCCTACTATATAGCACAGGGAATTATATTCAGTATCTTGTAATAACCTATTATGAAAAAGAATATATATGTATATAACTGAGTCACTATACTGTATACCAGAAACTAACACAACATTGTAAATCAACTACATTTCATTAAAAAATTTTTAAATTAAAAAAAGAAACCCCAGTTTATAGATTAACAGTCCTAAAGTACAGGTACTAACTAGCAAAATCTTAGAATATTCCCTTCATAATCTCTTCACATCCAAAAATGCAGCATGAACTCTCAGCTTGTAGTTACTACTTACATCTTTCTTTTATTTTAGAACATTTCTAATAATATTAGTGAAGCTTAAAATGTTCTTAATGTCAAAGTTTCAAATAGTCCAGAAGTTTACAGAGCTAAACCCTTAAGTCTCCCATCAGTCCTTTTTCTCCACTCTAAAATAATCTGAAAACTTTCATGTGTATTCTGACCTCCCATGTCAGCATTTACATACATAAATGTGAATTTGTATGAATTTGAGTTGAGGGTCTCTAGCTCACCCTCAAGTTTGATGATTCTCTAGAACTCACAGGACTCGAGGAAGCTGTTACACTCACAGCTATGGACTACTACAGTGAAAAAATACAGATTAAAGGCAAAATACACACAGAGTACAGGAAAGACCAGGCCCGAGCTCCCAGTAGTCCTGGCCCAGTGGAGTAGCATGAACAGCGCTTAAGTCTCCCCGCAATGACCTACGACAACAGGTGTGACGTGCTGCCAGCCAGGGATGCCCATGCGCACCTTGATGTCCGGGGCTTTTACTGAGAGTCAGTCAGCGTAGGCATCCGGCGTACACGACTGGCCTTAGCTGCTCTGTCTCCAGCCCCCAGAAGTCAAACTGATACAGCGAAGCTGAAGGCCTTGGGAATATGAAAACATTCACCAGGCTGGATATTTTAGGGGTCCAGAGGTCACCTCCCAGGAGCAAGTCAAGGACAGGCCTTCCTTTGTAATGTTTAGGGTTGGGCAACCCAGGCCTGCTAAGTTAACCCTTTCCTGCATAGCACCTAAATATACACATGCTCATAATGACAGTTACGGCTTATGTACCTTCCTTTAATACAGTATATGCACTTAACCACTTACTTGGAAGTCCCTCCATATCAGCATATAAGTAGCAAATAATAATAAGGGGAAAATGTCTTGAGTGCTCCACCTGCTCTAAATTCAGTCCTTTAATTTCACAGCTTAGGAAATGTAGTCTCAGTGTTTTGCTGTCATTCATGATACTTCTTTCTGGAAGGCCGTGCCCCCTCTTCCCTCTGGAACTTGCTGTAAAACAGAATTGAGCTCATAAAAATTAGTTCCAGATTCACCTATGTGAGGTTTAACCTTTCTAATTTTTCTCCTACCTAATGGTGCCCACATGGCATATATTTCTTACTTGCCATATATAAATGTATTGTACTCCCATACATTTCCATTTCTCCTTGCAAGCCAGTGTGCTCCTCCAGGGAAGGAGCAAGGCTTATTAATAAAGGAGTGTCTGACACATAGGTGCATGCACAGAGGTTGTAGGTGGTTTCTAGATGAAAGGATTTAGGATGCTCTCAATTCTAATCCTCTTTTCTGCATAGATGAACATGTGGGTCAGTGAATGATTGGAGGGAAGCACAAAAACAGGATATTTTAAATAAAAAATTGGCTTCTCCTAGAAAGTATAATGCAAAACTAATTATACAGAAAGCAGTGAGACAGCTTCACATGGGAAAAGTTATTATTAAGAAAGTCCCATTTATCTTCATAGTATTAACCAGCGATAATCCTTTTAGAAAGAATATGAATGTTCCATTACAGGGCTCACTGTCATTCAGGGACGTGGCTGTGGTTTTCACCTGGGAGGAGTGGCAGCTACTGGACCTCATTCAGAAGAACCTGTACCAAGACGTGATGTTGGAAAATTACAGCAACTTGGTATCAGTGGGTAAGCAGAGCTGTCTCTGGGTAGTGGAAGCAGTCCACTGCCTTTCCTTTCTCAGGGGTGAAAGGCATGGAGCCTTACAAGTGCCTTACGGTTTTAGAGTTGAGTTTCATACATAACAGATTTTAGTACTTTCTGACCTCTCACAGAGTGTTTTTCTCTCACTTCCAAAGAAAAAGGCCTTTACCTGGCTAAGATGCAAATTGTTCAGCCCCTTTAATGTCATCTTTCCCCATTTTTCAGAGGCCTCGTAGTCCAGGTATCTGGGTCCACAGGTCCTCTGTAATTTTCCTTGAGTAGGGTATCAAGATACCAGAGCAGATACATTCTGCCAGTTGGAGCAAGGAAAACCGTGGATAGCAGAGGAAGAGACCCACAGTCAGATTCATCCAGGTGAGTGGAAACCAGTCGCAGGGGATGAAAGGAAGGTGAAATCCCAGCTGGTCTGGAAGAGGGCGGCTCTTCTGAAACGTTGCTTGGAGAAATCTTCTTGACGTTTCTAAGCCTGAATGTGACTCAGAACAAATGTTGTGTGCTCTCACATACACTAACATCAACTGCACTTAATCTCTCCATATTAGGTCTCTTTTGCTTGGTTTAAAAAAAAATACATTTCCTTGTTTTACATATTCTGATCTGATCCCTCTCAAGTTCATCTTGGAACTTGCCCTCCTAATTAATCTTTCTCCCTGGCATCCTCAGCTCACCTGCCTTCCTTTTGTCTCCCTCTCCCTCATCCATGGTTATAGCTCTCTTTTCTTATATAATCAAGCATTCATAAATTCTCCCCTCTTCATTTTGTGTCTCCCATACCTCTGTAGTCTATTCCTTTTTTTTCTTCACATTTTTCTCTTTCCATTTATAAATGTCTCAGACTTCAGTTGTGTACCCCCCCAGTCTCATTTCCTCTTCCCTCCTTGGCCTTATGCTGAGATTCTGCTGCTTCTATTACATGGCCATTGTGGATTCGTTGTTCTGTTTCTAGAAGACACCTGGCAAGCCGACAGTCATAGAGACTGGCACGAAGAAAACCAAGGCAACCTGGAAACTATGGGGAGTCACCATGAAGCTAATACATTTGGAAAAATACCTTCTCTGAGCTTAAACCTTGATGTTTCTTTAGCACAAAGATCTCATACACTTGACATACTTGGAAAATATTTGAAACCTAACCTAGAGTATATTATTCAGAACAAAAGCTATGCAAGAAATGAGGTTGAATTTGATCAGTATGACAAATTATCTCTTTATACTAAGCATGAGAAAACTCATGCTGGGCAAAAATACAATGACTATAACGAACGTGTAAAAGCTTTCAGCCATAAGTCACAGCTTATCAAACACTGGGAAACTCAAACAGCAGAGAAACACTGTAACTGCAGTGACTGTGGGAAAGCCTTTTCCCAGAGGTCGGACCTTATTAAGCATCAGAGAACGCACACAGGAGAGAAACCCTTTGGATGCAGTAGATGTCAGAAAGCCTTCGGCCAGAAGTCCCATCTCATTTTACACCAGAGAACCCATACAGGAGAGAAACCATATGAGTGTCATAAATGCGGAAAAGCTTTTACCGATAAGTCATGCCTTAATAAACATCAAAGAACTCACAAAGGAGGGAAACGGTTTGAGTGTCGGATGTGTCAGAAAGGCTTCAGTGATAAGTCACAGCTTACTTTACATCAAAGAACTCATACGGGAGAGAAACCCTACAGGTGTGGTGAGTGTCACAAAAGCTTCAGCAGTAAGTCACAGCTCCGTATTCATCAGCGGTCTCACACGGGAGAGAAGCCCTATGGCTGCAGTGAATGTGGGAAAACATTTCCCCTTAAGTTTAGCCTCATTTTACACCAAAAAGCGCATAAAGGGGAAAAACCTTATGGATGCAATGAATGTGGGAAAGCCTTCATCCAGAGGTCGGAGCTCATTAGACATCAGAGAACTCACACGGGCGAGAAGCCTTATAACTGCAGCGAGTGTGGGAAAGGCTTTAGTGTCAAGTCACTCCTCAACACGCACTGGAGAACTCACACAGGCGAGAGACCCTATGGATGCAAGGAGTGTGGGAAAACGTTCTCCATCAAGTTTAGTCTCATTCTGCACCAAAGAACTCATACCGGTGAGAAACCCTATGAGTGCGGTCAGTGTCAGAAAGCTTTCACCCAGAGGTCACACCTCACTATTCATCTGAGGTCTCACACCGGAGAGAAGCCTTACGAGTGCAGTGAATGCCACAAAGCCTTCAGCCGGAAGTCGTATCTCCTTATTCATCAGAGAATTCACTCAGGAGAGAAACCTTATGAATGCCACGAATGTGGGAAAACCTTCTCTCACAAGTTTAGTCTCCTCATTCATCAGAGAATCCATAGTGGAGAGAAACCCTACGGATGCCCTGAATGTGGGAAAACTTTTCCTATCAAATTTAGCCTTGTTTTACATCAGAAAACACATACAGGAGAGAAACCCCACGAATGCAGCGAATGTCAGAAGTCTTTTGCCCAGAAGTCACATCTTACTATTCATCAAAGGACTCACTCAGGTGAGAAACCTTACGGATGCGGTGAGTGTTGGAAAACCTTCTCCCACAAATTCAGCCTCCTTTTACATCAGAAAACTCATAGAGGAGAGAAATCATGAACGATGTAAATATCCAGAAGTCGTCATTGCGAAGGAACAGTTCATTACACACCAGAGTGTACGTGGGAGTAAAACCTTGAGACTTTGGGGACACACTTTCTTTTCAGAGTCACCATCTTATTACTTAGCCGAGAATGGAACTGCATAGAATGCCAGACAGGAGGAAACACCTTTCCCAATAAATTCAATTGAATGTGGCCCAGAGAGAAGAGATAGGAAGGAGTATCTGTGTAAGTATTAACTGTGGGGATGTTGGTGGTGTGAAATTCAGCTACACTGGTATCAGAGAACTGACACGGAGGGAAAAATTCTATACTTTAAAGAATCTGGAGAATCATGCTTTCATGGGTATCGTTTTATGAGGGAAGTCATTTTCGGTAACTGTGACGTAATAAATAGCATTATAGAAAGTATTAAATATGTAAATAATACAGTAAGGAAGCAAAGCAAAATTATGTCAGAACTATGTAAGAATATGTAAGTGTTTTGTACCTATTTTTATTATAAAAATGATTGTTCATATTTAGGAATTGCATGTGTTAGCATAAAGATTGTGACTCTGGTCCATGTGCTTAAATGTACATAAAACTTTACCACAGAATATCCCACTGAGTCTTTGTATCATTACAGTGCTACATAAATCATAACTGAACTACATGGTTTGTTATTTTAATAAGAAATTTTAATAATACTAAATATCCCTCCCCTCCACCGTGCCCCACTGTTTACTGGTATTAGTAAGTGGGCCTGGAAATTTTTGAGTCTCTCTTGAGTAAAGCTTTTTTTTCATCAATTATAAGATGGAAAATATTTCCCACATATTAACAATGCTGAAGTTAAAAGGCAGCATAGAGTTGATGGCTTGGCATATTTAAACGGAGAACTTGGTACATAAAATAATGGTACCTCATACAACAAAAGGTATCTTAGATTGGATGAAACACAGTGGAAGTCATCATCTTTATAATTTCCTTTCTTCTAAGCCAGACAAATATTTAGGGTTTGAAGATTATTATGACTCACAGGCTTTGTACCCCTTTGAATTCTAAACAGTTTGAGAGATAGTCCCTGGTATCAGAAGATGGAAA